GTTATATCCTGCCTTTAGCAATCTGTTTTAGAGGCAGGTTACTGTGATGAGATTCTGGAAACAGTAAAGACTAGAAAACTATACTGAGTCTGTTCATTCTGCTTTTAAGCCAGGTTGTGCTCTGAAGTAACTCAGGTCTTATGAGATAGCATCTTTCTTCAGCAACAGACAGGCTGTGCTTCTGCTTTCCATCCTGCTAACTGTAGACCACATTCTGCCTGCCTAGCGCTTGGATCCAAGGATTTTCATGTTGTATGTGTTCTCCTCTGCTCTTTGCATGTGCATAACTGTAGGATTACCTTCCACCTTTAGCTATAAGTACACCCTCACTCAGTGACAAAGCAAAGGCAGCAATTAAAAGTGCAATCTGCATAACCACAAGAGGAGACAAGACTTCAATCGGGATAAATTAGAAAGCCCAGAATGTATAAAAAAAACAGAAGAGAAGCAAAAGATGGCAAGGAAAAATCCATGGTGGGCAGAAAAAGACAGTATGAGGAATATTTTAAGTGAAATGACAAAGTCTGCATCCCAGTTGCAGTACCACCTGCAAAATGTGTGGAAAACCTTGCCAGTGCTGGGTACCTCCTTCAGAGCAATATGCCAGCGCTAGTTTGGCCATTGCAAGCAGTGAATATGTACGGCAGCCCAGCTTCCGATGTTGGGCCTGGCTTGTGATTTCTTTCCACTGCTCTAGCAAACGTTTCAGTTAATGCAAGTCTCTGGTTCACCTGAATCATTGCTGATTTGCACCATCCTGACCACAGTGTGTACAACTGCTTTTGCCTTGCAAGTTTACTGTGTTTTGTTTCAGTGGCGTCTTAGAGCTAATAAAAATTGGTCCCCTGGGTTGCAGGTTCTATTTAACTTTCCTCTTCTCTGCAGAAGACTGTGACAGACTTTGGGCACTTAAGTTGAACGTGAGGGAGTTGAACATGACTGCTGTCCTGCAGCAGGGGCAGGGCAGGCTGTAACCTGGTATATGAGTGGTCCTCACTTGTAAAGAGAGTGAATCTTTAGTGACTCCTATCATGCATGAGATGTTAAATCTCCAGCATATGACCACAATACTATAGTCCCTATTCTGCACCTTACTATGAGATTTTATGTGTCTTTGTGACCCATCAGACACGTTGGTCATAATTTTCTTTAGATAGTACTCCTGTCTCACCCTTTTTTACTTTAAAAGAGAGAGGGGAAAATTAATGTCGTGTCCTCATTTTACTGCTTGTGGTCATCTCTATGAACCTCTATTCTTGCTCTCTTCTCCTCTCAAACCATGGAGTTTTTGGCTTGTTATTTCTGGAAATCCAGAACTGCTGTTGATTTGAGCATCTCTGTTGTGTCTGAGAAGCAGAACAGTCCTGACTTGGCAGTCATTCCCTTTTGCACTCTTGTGTCTTTCCAGTGAGCAGTTTGAATACATAACATACAGTGACTTCTTGTATCCCTCCCAGACAATTCCCTCTGGCAGCAGGTGTGCCTCTGCATTGCACATTGGTACACATCTCACCCCATTTAAAGGCAACAGTGCTTCTTGGAGTCCTCCTTACAATCATGTGAATTTGCTTCTAAGCTGCCTCTCACAACACAGGGATCTATCCTGTGCTGCAAACTGGTGGCAGTCTTCTGCAAAGTACCAAATAGCTGTCTGATGAAATTGCTTTACTGTAACAATTAAACTCACCACCAGAGAGGCTTTTCTGAACCATGTATGGCAACAGAAATACAGCTCTGATTTGGTCAGTGCATAGCAGTGTTAACCTCTTACAAAGAGGAGGGAATGAACAACACCTCCCTTATGCTTCTGTAACAACATGATGTAGTCTCATTTTGAAAGATGATCCTTGTATCAGTCTGTTGGCAGCAGGATCCTATCATGTAGAACATGCATTACAGTTTTTTCAATGTTATTTACAAAACACATCCACTAAAGCCATGTGGATGACAGCACAAGAGGATCACAATGCTGTTTAATGAGACCTGCAGCATGCAGTAAGTCACTGCTTATTGTTTCCTTGCTTAGGTCCCAGTCAAGACTTGCCTTTCCTTAATGCAAGCATTTCCTATCTTCACCAAGCATGTAAATTGCTGGGTTTCAAACTTAATTTATTCAAGTACTGTAGCTGGCACAAAGTGCCATATTTGGCAGCCAAAACAGGTTCCATTTCCTGCTCCTTTAATTTGCCAAAGCAGGAGCTCCCACATCCCATCTGAACAAATGAGTGTAAGATCTGTCTGGGACCTCTTTTCCCATTCCCATCCCTTCCTCTGCAGCATATCCCACTGTGCCAACTTAATTCTACCTCCATGGGCCTGAACCAGAAGTGCCAGCTAGTGTGCTGCTTGTTGGAGGAGATGCCTTTGCACAGCCCATGCACTTCACACCACATGCCTATGGCTGTATTAGCAAACATTGTCTATGGCTGCTAGCAAGAATAATAGTAGCACATCTGTAGATAACAGCAGTATTTAGGGATGGTGTTAGATAAACAGAATACTGAGGACTTGACACCCAGTCTGTATGCATTTTGATGAAGGAGGTGGTTATTGTGGATTACCTCCAGCTGTGCCCTGTGATGCCTATTTGCAGCTGCAGTATCCTAGATGTACTCCAGAAGTGCATCTTCTAGTTTAGCTTTGTCCAAAAAGAATGCATTTCATGAACTTCAGTGTGAATCATAGCAGAGAAGTTGCAAATGACAGAGCAACTCTTCAGGAGCACACGCCTGAGCTTGACTGGAACAGTAGTGGAGATGCACCTATGTTGCCTGGCTAACAAGGGGGTCCAGCCCCGTTGCTCCTGTGACAGGCAATGTCTGGAGACCTTTGCTGCTGCTCAGGAAAATTCATAGATCACTACCAGTAGCAGTATCACAGTTTTGAAGTTTTATTTAAAAGAACTTTATGGTCTACTAAGATACTGTGCACTGAACAGCTAAGAGTGGAGGAGGATGAGAAATACACAGTATCAGTATAATGTTTTTTATCCATTTCATGTAGACAGCTTTCCAAAAATAATTACCAACAGAGAATCCTCATTGAAAGGATTTCTGTGAGCAGTATTTGATGTCTTTTATTAAATTTCTAGAATAAAAGTAAATAAAAATAGTTGCTAATAGAAATTGTACGTGGCACAAAATACTACATTATGAGGACAAGTCACCTTGAAGAGATATAATGATCCATTTGAAAAGCTTTAGAAAAGAGCTTTAAGAGTAAGTCTCAAGATCTTAAAACCAAAAGACATTGCAACAACAGACAGAAGGAACTGGTCTATTTAGCTCATTAAGGAGAATTAAAAAACCATCCTCATCAAGGTCTGTAAGTGATTAAATGTTGAGACACTAGAGATAACAAAAAAAAGATACTGAATCTAAAGCTGCACAAAGTCAGACAACAGGTAAGACACAGACTTTAGCAGTGACAGAGCTTAATCACTGGAGCAATTGGCTGTGCATTATCGAGGATTTTCTATGGTTTGTAATCTGGAAAATGTATCTGCACCAGAAACACTATGCTCATTGCAGGACTTGCAGGTGGAGGTTTCTGTCCTGGTACTGCAGAAAGTTGGACTATATTATCTAAGTGGTACTTTCTGAACATAACACCCGTGAAGCCTACACAGCAGATTCTTACCGTTACAACCTTAATAGCAATTAAATATGACGACTTTCTCTCATGACTTCTTTGTCACTAGCTGTGAAGATTTTCACTAACCTAGTCACCCTTCTAGGACATGTTAAGCACTCATTCATTGTAGGAACCCTTTGAAATGTAATGTTTAAGAGCTAAGTTAACATAGGGACTTGGGATCTAACCATCATTTTAGGCAGCATCATTTCCTTCTCTGGTTATGGGCAAGGCAATCACCCACACAACAGGGTAACTCTCTTTCAGCCTGTGAGGGTGAGCCTTGTCCAGTGCAAGTGTTCAGTAACACCAGCTGGTGTAAAGCACATCAGCAGTGCTGTTGAACCCTTAAAACATAGAGACTGATACAGCAACTGCGAAAGTCAGCGCCCATCCTGCCCACTGGTGGAGCTTTGTCCTGCAGTCACTCTACATAGCCCTTTCAAAAGCACTGTTCAGAAAGAGACTGAAACCATAATGCATGCAAATAAACACTCAAATACCATTTGATTACATCAGATATAAAATTTGCCAAAATCTTTTGCTTTGAGTGGCCTTCTGCGTATTGCCATATTAACTTGTGGCCTTCTCTGAGAAGCAACAAGAAATCAGTGACCCTTAATTAGATTTGGTCCAGATTTTATCACTAACTGTTAATGAAATCATCCTATGGCAGAGTTAGTTTAAAAGCAGACCTCTGCTACAAGTCTAAGGCGCTTGTCTTTTTATAACTCTTTACATTCCTGCAGCCTTGTCAGATCTTAAAGCTGAGCTGGGTGAGGATTGAAGGGGAGAGCTATGCTTGTGGGGTGGCATCATTTGAATGAGAGCGTGGTCCGTTATCGTCAGAGTGCCCATGGTGTTCTGAAAGCAAAGATTGGTGACTAAACTGTAATAAAGTAATTGCTTTCTAATTTCTAAATTCCCCTGTAGTTCCCCTTAGACAGTAGCATTGGTTTTCACACCCTAACTTTTTTCTGGTTCTGCTTTGGATTTTGTTTTTTAGTTGGTTGGTTGTTTTTTTTATGGTCTACTAAACATTTCTATTTAAAAGATAGTACCTTTCATTTCAGTTGGGAACATGATTGGTGTGGATCCTCCTTCCTTTTAGCTTCAGCCTCCTTGGGAAGACCTAAAAAACATACTGACTCTTCTTCAGTTCTTAGCACTCATCTGTTTTGGGGCATCTTTCACATGTGCATGCATCTCTTTCTGTTCCCCATTTCTAGGGAATGAGCTCTGCATAAGGAGTATGTACATCCCTTGTAATGCTATTCATCCAGCCTGTTGCCTTTTAAAACCTACAAGGGAAGCACAGAAAATCCAAACTTGTCCACTTCGCTTAACATTTTTCTTTTCACTTCTAGGTCCTCCTGTTGAGCCCCTGGAGCCAACCAGGCCTTTACCGACTCTTCCTGTTCGCAGAATTCACTCCACATCAGAAAGAAAACACGAGAGACAGCCAAGACCTCCTAGTCCTCCTCTGGGTGATAGGCCATCTCCTCCCGGCATGAAACCAAACATCTGTGATGGCAACTTTAACACCGTGGCTCTCTTTAGAGGAGAAATGTTTGTTTTCAAGGTACTAAGAATTCCTGCTTACCCATGAAGCTTTCTTTAGTTTTATTGATCGAAAAGATTAATAGAAGTATAAGGTAGAGAGATTTGAAATGTCTGTGAAAACAGCTCTGTTCGTCTGAGGGTGATGAATGAGCAGTATTAGAAAGAGATGTAAGCAGGCTTTCTAATATTTGGAAACAGTGCCTGATTGCATTCACAAAATGCCTGGGCAGTCTGTGCACCAAAGCGTGAACTGGATGCACTGGCAGAGAATTCAGACACCATCAAGCTCAGAGAGGAGCCACCTGTAAATCCAGAAAGCAATACCAGTACCTAACCAGGGATTAAGCATCGTTGCCTCCAAAGATGGCATGCACTGAACCTAGGGCTTCAGGGAGCACTCAGCCTACCTGAAGCTCTTGAGAAGTTTGAGTCAACCTTGTTTGTAAACTACAGCCAGGGAAGAAGGAGAGGCTTTGCTCAATAACCCATGTTAGAGTGCCTTGAATATGGAAATCCGTGGTCTCATTCCCAAAATACCTGTAGCTTTCACTGTGCCGAATGGGTGTGAATGTGGAGAGGGATATATTGAAAGTCATTAAATGGACAAACCACATCAGTTGCAGAAAATGCCTGAACTGAAGGTAGTTGAAGGCTGGGGCAGTATCTGGGAGAAGCCTCACAGGCTCTGTCCTGCCCTTACTCATCCCAGAGCATCCACTACGTCTTTAACTAACGATCTCATATCTAAAGGGATGTTTAATAAATCCTTCATGGCTTTGGACATTGTGTGCTTCATACAGTCACCGGGTTAAGGCTCTGTGTCTCTCCTGGGGTCCAATAGCTGAGTACCAGTTGTACTGGGACACATGTGTCATCTCAGTACGAGACACACAGAGAGGTCACTCACAAATGAGTTCATAACACTTATAACTGTGGACTTGCTTCCCCCTGCTCCTTTTTCCTCTCCTTCTTTCCACCCTTTTTCACAGCACCAGCAATCAACTTCTCACCCTTTTGGCTGCCATCTTCCCCACAAAGTGCTTCCCTCACTGGAACAAGTGTTGGGCTGGGTTGGAGCTGTCATGTGAACCAGGACTTCAGTCTTTAATGGTTATGGGGCCTAGGCGGGGGATTAGTAATGCTTGATGCTGGACGTCCAGCCTGATTTGACTGCAAGATAAAAATGCTCAGTCTGAAGATGCTTCTGGTTTTCTCAGGATCGCTGGTTCTGGCGTCTGCGCAACAACCGAGTGCAGGAGGGATATCCCATGCAAATTGAGCAGTTCTGGAAAGGCCTCCCTGCAAAGATTGATGCAGCCTATGAGCGATCTGATGGAAAATTCGTTTTCTTCAAAGGTACAGTACATTTCAGTACAAATCTACCCCACCTGCCTCATGTCACACTCTCTCTGGTATGAAGATGTTGAAAACAGGTATGCTGCATCCTTGTCCTTTTCCAAGGGGACACTTCAACCAGCCACTAATCCTTAAAATATAAGGGCTGACCGTGCCAGGACAGTCTCTCTATAAAGCTAATGTTGATTAGTGGCAGCTGGCTTCCATGGGATAACAAGAAATAGCTGCTCTTTACCAGGGAGTGTCAGCCTCCTGCCTATATCTTTGAACATGATTCAACAGGGCATTAGGGCCTCTCTGGGTATAGAGCACTCCCAAACCACATTTCTGGACAGTTGTCCCTTACAGAGTCAAAATGACCAGACTTGTTCTGGGGCCCACATTACCTCCTTGCACTGTGACAGTGTCTGAACAGGATCCTGTAACTTAAGAACAAGTTGTAAGTGAGGAAGAGTGCCTGGAAAGCATCAGCATGCCCCTGTACAAAAATACAGTACTTGGTCTTCTGAATTTATGTCTGCAGCTTCAGTCTCTCAGCTCAATAAACTGTATTAAAACTTGAGAAGGCTCAGAGGAAGGCAACAGAAATGATCAAAAAATAAGGGCTGACCTCCTGCAAGGAACTCCTCAGCCTGAGTGAGGGATGACAAAGAGCGAGTATGAGAGAAGTCTTTGAAATCATGACTTGGCTAGAGAAGGTAAATGGGAAAGGGTTGTTTAAGATCTCTTCCAAAACAAGAGCTGAGGAGCAGCAAATTAAATCAGGAGGTTTCAGGTTCAAAATGAGTATGAGGAGCAGCATTTTCATGTACTACAGTTAAGCCTGAAAGTCTTCAACATGCTGTGGTTCATTTGGGCTATTTTACATTTATATCAATTCAGCTACTAATTGGGCAAATCTGTTTGTTGTTTGTGTTCCCATCCATCTTTAGGAGACAAATACTGGGTTTTTAAAGAAGTGACAGCAGAGCCAGGATACCCACACAGTCTGGTGGAGCTGGGCAATTGTCTGCCCCGGGAAGGCATTGACACGGCTCTGCGTTGGGAGCCAGTAGGCAAAACCTACTTCTTCAAAGGTGACAGGTACTGGAGGTACAATGAGGACAAGAGAGCAACGGACCCAGGATACCCAAAGCCCATCACCGTGTGGAGAGGAATCCCTCAGGCTCCACAGGGAGCTTTTATCAGCAAAGAAGGCTGTACGTATCTGCAGTCATTACACCTGTTCGATCGGTAATAGCTTGTCTACCTTGGGAGCTGGGTTGTTGGATGTGGGGTGTTTAGAATATTTCCTAAGAGAAGAATCAAATCTCAGAAGTCCTAGGGTCACACTGGCACTTGCAAACCCTGACAGGCTGAGATCCCTCCTGACCCTTATTCCAGCCCAGCTACCTCCTCAACTGCTAAACCACAGCACCGTAATGCCTGCTCTGGGTAATGGGAAGGAGACTTTTTCTGCTTTTGCTGCTACAAAAGTCCCTACCCAAGTTTCCCTGGGCCCTGATTGCAAGGATGCCATAACTTACATTTTCCTTCTAGTCTCTTAACTGTAGCTAGCTCAGTCTCTCTGTGACAGCCCCAACCTGCCTGATGTACTTCGAAGCTAGCCATGCTCTGAGTAGTGGGGTGGACCTCCAGAGGCTCCTTCCAACACATTTCTTTCTCTGATTTGAAGATTTCTTCCTCTTCTTCCAGCTGGGGAAAGAACTAACAGAAGGAGCTTGTGCCATCAAGGCCATGTTTAAATTTGTGGCTGCAGTGTGAGACAAAGGCTGTAGGTCTGGGCTGGAGGAGTGCAGTGAGAGCCAGTCAAGCTGGAGGACAGATGCAGGAGACATTGCTTTCAGCACTCTTCCCTTCTCCTTTTTCCTTTTTTTTTTTTTTTTTTCTGATTGCTTGAGTGTGATCTGGGGAGGTGAAGGATACTTCATACAACGTGTAGCAGAAACCATCAGCCTTTTACTAGCAGCAGGACAAGACTGCTCCTTAACAAAGGCCAAATCTTTTGGATTCTGTGGCTGAAAGGACTCATCTTCTGCATCTACTCCCTCAGGCTGTGTGAACAGAAACCTTAAGTATTCTTCCAAGCACCGTTGCACTCAGGCACACACTATCATTCTGCAGATTATGATAATTGCTTGGTAATGACAAGCACATATTTACAGGTGCTTTAGTAAAAATTAACTCACTGCAGAACGCTTACTTTAAAGTTAGTTAGTTGGGATTTTTTTATTCACAGCTTGTCTTGGCCAAGGGAATGGTGGTCTGTGGGCAACATTGAAACCATAAGCTGGGGTTATGGCTTCTCCTTAAATCCTAGCTCCAAAACCATCTTCACTTTTCAGTGGTTTTGGGATGCCCTGGATGAATGTGTTTTATTGGCCCAGGGGGCTACCACCTCCAGCCTTCCAGGCACATCTTTACACAAGCACAGCTTGTCAAGTTGGAAATGGTGTGGTGAGAAATATTCTCTGTTTTGTCTCCTAGTTTATACCTACTTTTACAAAGGGAAGGAGTATTGGAAGTTCGATAATCAGAGGCTGAGTGTGGAGCCAGGCTACCCCAGGTCAATCCTCAAAGACTGGATGGGCTGTAACCAGAAGGACGTTGAACGAAGCAAAGACAGACGCCTCCCCCATGACGATGTGGATATTATGGTGACAATAAACGATGTGCCTAGCACTGTAAATGCAATTGCGGTTGTGATCCCTTGCATTTTGTCTCTGTGTATCCTTGTCTTGGTATACACAATCTTCCAGTTTAAAAACAAAGAGGTGCAGCAAAATGTTGTGTATTACAAAAGACCTGTCCAGGAATGGGTATGACATAGCCTGCTGCACATTTCAACTCATTATCTGATGAGGACTATGGACAAAAAAAAAAAAAAAAGAAAAAAAAAAATGCATTCAACAGCCTACCAAACAAAACTACTTCAATGACCTACAAGTTTTGGACAGCCTGGGACTAAAAGAAGCAGGAAAACTGGAAAAAAATACAGGCAGTCTTGCAGTGTGGAGCCTCTTTCCTTCTTACTGCCTCAGCCGCATGTCAGTCTTGGTGTGCCGTCCTCCACAGGCTCACTCTGCTAACATCAGTCTTCAAGACAGGTTTCAACTGACTGGGAAACTTCCTTCAGTTCCCTGCATCAGTGCTCCCTGTTAAACCCAGCATTCTCCAGTGTAGCTAAACCACCTCTGAACAGAACCATTTTTTTAATAGCTGTCTCATAAATGAATTAAGATCATGAAATCTATGAACAGGAACAATTCAGTGTCATAAGCAGAAGACATTCTGATGCTGAACCATTCTAAAAGATCTTCTTAGTTTATTACAAATTCCAGGAAATTACCTGGATACAGTTTTCCAATACCTGCTGGTCAGATGTTTTGTACATTCATAACTAATCAACGCTGCCACTCAGCACAGTGCATGAAGAACCACTAAGCACTCAGAGAGGTAAATGAGTGCAGAGCAGAAGCTCAAGCAGCACCAAACCAGACACCATAATGTTACCTGGCAACACCAAGCCCTAGATTGGGACAAGCTGAAGAGAAAGTAAGTGGGTCCAAAAAACCAATCATGGGAATAATCATTTTTGGTTTGGGAGCCATTCATGAAACAAATATTTACATGTCATATGATGTTGTTTTAAGCTCCCATCAGCAAGAAACAATGAACCAATGGTCACCGATCTACTGAAAAATATGTATAGACGTAGACTGCACTCTGCTCCTGTTAAGATGCTGGGAAAAGATGAATTGTTGTTACGTGGCATGTATAACTAGATTGTGGAATTTGTATGTTGGGTTTCAGGAGAATGGAAATGTTTGTTTGGAGTGAGACCATCATCATATTTTGCTGAAATAGTCAAGATACAGTAAGAATTAGGCCTGTTTATAAAACTAAATCCAATCCCTGTAGATGTTACAAACATTGTACGCCTTCAGAATTTGTTGGTTTTGCTCACTTCTTCACAGGGAAATATTTGGCAAAGACCAAAGGAAGCATGCCACACCATAGAATATGTTCATCACTAGCCACATTTGACAGAGACATAAAAATCAGGTAAAGGCTAGATAAATATCTGAGCTTTCAGCAAGTAACTTTTCACAAGTCTCTTCCTACAACAGTAGCTTCTGCTTATCCCTCTTACAGTTGTGAATGGTTTAGGATGTTGTGTCCTAACCACAGACTTTGTCCATTTTGTTGTTGATGATGATGTTTTTACCATGTTAACTAAGAGTTTCTTGCAATGCAATATAATGGTGAAGTCCAGCCCTGTACAGAAGTGCCATTTATGTAAGTGTATGAACTGCTTTGCACACTCAACATAAGGAATAGGCAATTTGTGTCAGCCCTCGGCCTATAACTGAATTTTATTCAGTGCAATGGAAGTGCAATGCACAGAATGTCCAGTTAGTCTAGAAAAAGTACAGCTTTATAATGTCAGCTGTGAAAAAAATCCAAGGATGAGAAACACACTAAAAATATTCCTAGTTACAATTATAAGGAATGAAGAAGCAGAAAGCTTGTTAGCATTTTGAATTTCTAACTAGTGCTCAAATATTGCTATGGTGAAGCAGGATAGACAAATAGATACTTCTAGTGAAACCCACTAGGACTGCATAACATGCGGTCTCAAACTGTATTTTGTCCTTCATAATTGATTTCCATAGCCAAGCTGTTTATTGTGTTTAAACATAACAAAAAAAAATATTACACACATATTACAAAATAAGCGAGAAGCTAGTAGATGCAAAACTTTGAATTTTAGTGAAAAAAATGTGATAATGTCTCATGATGGGTGAAGGAGTGCAAAGGACCAAATGAAATCAGAGCTACTAATTAGACACCCCCCACACATGCTACTCCGTACGTTGCTATGTGTACTATGTATGTGGTAGAATGCACACTATGAACGCCACAGCCACATGGCACATTGAACTCATCTGTACGCTGCCATCTCTTCTGGGACTGTGACGCCCCAAACCTTTGAGCAACTTCCAACAGCCATCATTAAAAAAAAAAAAAAAAAAAAAAATTTACAACCTCGAGAAATGTCTGGTTTTGTTTGTATTTGTTTCCTCCTGCCCAAACGTAGATTTTTGGTCTGTTCAAAACCCTGTACTGAGTAAGAGGCTGTACAGGCAGCACAGTGCCTGGGTCTGTAGCAAGCTGAGCCATTTTCTCAGACAGCTGCGTCTTGCCCTGAGGAGCCAGGCACCCCACTGCAGTAAGACAAACCACCTGCCCTACATTGCCAAAATTCAGCCTTCCTCCAAGTCCTGCTGCTTCAGAGAACCAGAGTAGTTTGGTGCCTTTCCTGCTTTGTAACTTGCTCCTAGTGCAGATGTTAAGCATCTGAGCTTGCCAGGGGTGTGATGTTATGTGTAGGTGTTCAAGGGACTGAGGAACAGCCCTCTGCAGTTACAAGTGCTGGCACTGGTAGGGGAGCAGTTGATCCACTTTCCCTGTGTACAGTCCCCTTCTCACTACTAGCAGCTCTCTTTTGTTAAGATTACCAGCTGTGCAGTCCTGGGGTGACCTGGATTTGGGCACAAACATCAGTACTCATGTAAGGGATGGTTCCTTAATATTCCACACCTGAGCTCTTTGCCAGCTCGTGTATTATGCTGCAGAAACACAGCGCCTGATCAGCAGCGTATTGTCCCCATCTGCCTCCTATCAGCACAGCTAAAGCATCTCCATGGGCAGGTGGCCGCGCTCCAGTTCTTGTCCAGAAACGCAGCAGCAGGACGTGTTGCCACCGCAGGGGAGCAGGGAACAGCAGTGCTTATTCAGTTCTGATCCATAAGCAAGAGGCTCTTCCAGGTGTGCTACACACCATTGTGCAGCCAGAGGGGAATCCTGGCACAGGTTTACCTCCAGCACAGCAGATGCAGCCCCTCTGGTGAGCAGCCCACTAGATACACTATACTTCACTCAACATTCTAATTTTTTTGTTTTTTCCCCCCTCCAGTTTTTAACTACTGTGAATAATCTCATCAACAGCAAGGTAGGCTCATTCTTCCAGGTAAGTTAGAAATGCGCTGGGATACACAATCACTACAGAGGTGGTCCTTCCACTGTAAGAGGGATTAGTTGTTCCTAACTTATAAATCTCAATCCCATCTCACACCACGAGGGCTCAAGTTTTTAAAACCCTCTGTGAAGGATGCTGGCGAAATTTTCTGGGCATGAATGCACACTATGGCAGCCAAAACTACATACCCTATGACTTCTTCACTGGACCCTGAGTTGCAAGACATTCATTCCTCCCTCAAAACATCTGGACAACTCTTCTCCATCCTGTGACATTCATCCTGGGGCTTGATTCAACCCTTCTCCTAGTGTAAGACTTAATTGTCCAGTACAGCTGGAATCAGCTATAATTCCTCAGATCATTATTGCAACCCTTTTTAATACCTGAAGTCATCTGTTGCCTTCCACTGCCTGATAGCAAAGGTGGTATAGAGCCATGGTGTGTAATCCACTGCTTCACAGTTCAGCAATTTAAGAACCTTGAGAACCCATGTAGCAATACGCAGCACTGGGGACGTACAACTCGGTTTAATTGATGATTCCTTAACACCTTCTTTTGGCATCGCCACTGGAGAATGCCACATTTGAGATAAAGCCCATAAAAAGGGTCACTGAAGTGTTGCACAGTGCTTTAAGTGCCTCAGGCTGTGTAATGCCAAGGGCCTGCCACTTGTAATTCTGCCTTTCTGCAACCCTTCACCCGAGTTGCCATTTCTCCCTTACTGTTGCACACTGTTGTTCTCAGTGTCATCCTCATGGCCCTGCACCTGTGCAAGCTCCGACACTGCTAGGCAGGTTCTCGTGGGAAGTAATTGGCAAAAGCATGAGAATCTCACTCATCCTTTCCCTTGGCTTCTTCTGGAATTTGTAGTTTACAGAAGAACCAAAATGTAATGAACAAAGTAGTTAAGCATTACCCAAAAATATCTATTTGCAGAAAAGCTTGGCAACTACTGTGCAACACTTGCATCTGATCTACAGGGAGTACCCAAGATAAAGATGCATCATGGATTTACAAATAATGATGCTTTGTTTGGGCTTTCTTTCCTACTAACTCCAAACATAGTTTGCTTTTTTGACTGTTACCGAAGACTGAGCACATGTCTTTGTTCAAGTACATACCTTCAGACCAAGAATTTGCTCTTGCACTGCTCAGAGTTCATCACTACAGGTATGAAATTGGGATTCTCGGCCACAGCATGCTTCACTTTATGTTCAGCTGCACTGAACTGACCTTTCTATTAAGCCATCAGTCAGTCCTCATCCTTACTCATCAGTCAGCACAGACAAACTGCCCTGCACTAATCCACTGCCTTTCCTAAACAGGACAGTAATGCTGAACATCGTAACTCCCAGGGAAGCTCCCTGTGAAACTTGGAAAATCTAAACATTTAACTCTTTTCCCCCAATCCTCAAGCATGCAAAAGGGCCTCTCGCTCATTCCATGGGATCACTCACCCAGGGTGGTTAAAAGCCTTTGACACAAAGACCTGACAAATGTCTTTTGGAAAGACAAACAACAGACCTTCTCCATATCTCTGTGGACTCCTTTAAAGAACTCCACAGGTCTTGCAAGACATGACTTGCCATTAAAACACCAAGTTTATACTCTCTCATGATATCATGAATCCACATTTCTAGTAATTCCATTCTTTATTATAGTTTCTGTTTTCCCTGTACATAGGTCCATCTTACTAGTTCAGAATTCCCACAAACCCTTGTTTAGAGTGGGTATCACGTTTGCCACCTTCCAGTTCCCAAGCTTTAACACAACTTGTGTAAGAGGTCACACACCAGTTAGCACTACCCTATTCTGCTCTGTCTGTCTCCAATCTTCTTCAGCATATCACAACCTCCAACACTGTAACAGTATCATTCCTATTTAAGGATTTGGTTTACACAGAGATGGGATTATTTTCTTGTTTACCTCTAGGCAATTTTTAAACACATAACACACATCAAGGTCACCAATATAAACCAGGATTCCTGCCTATGAGCCAGAATGAAAAAAAAAAAGTTACAGAGGAAAACTTCAGCCTTACTCATTTCATACTTGAATACATGCTAGCAGTGATGGCAACAGTCACTCTTTGCCATTTATACCCAAGAAGAGTGCCCTGGGCGGTGGCCAAAGGAAAGCAGCTTCTCACTCTAAGTAGTTAGATATGCTAAGAGGAGGAGACCTGGAGTCAGTTTCAAGAAAGCTAGTCCACTGTATCAAAGGGGCCATAAACACTAAAAATCGTTACCTGTAGTAGTAAGGAGATATGAGCTGCTTAAGACTTCCCCAATGGCAGAAGAAAGGTGAGCTGTCTGGAAATGGCAGTCCCTGGCTCAGTTACCGTTCTAGACAGCCCAGGTGGCAGCACTGCTACAGAGAAGATCCTATGGCAAACTTTCAGGTAAAGTTTAAGGAGCAACTTTTAATCAACCCAAAATTATAAAATCTTCCCTAAACACCCAGGCAGTAAAACAAAAATGGAAGTTTACTTAATTTTCTGCAAATACTGAAGCACCAGGTCCAAAAAAGATTCCTTCCCACCCTGCCTTCAGGACAGCACTCCTGAAGGGAACCCAGCTGAGAGTAATGCAGCTCTGTGGAAGCAAGCAAGGAGCTTCCACATACCTTTAGGATGGGAAGTGGAAGCATTTCTCTGCCTTCAGTACACCTTTAATGGGCAAGTGGAAAAAAAAGCAACTCAAATGAGAGATCAGTGAGCAACAGCTGTTAAGAGGCAAATTACCATCTTCTACATGAAAGCAGTACCTATAGTTCCTTTTTGTCATCATCACTCCCTGACAAGGGCAGAGCTCTTAATTAGCATGCTCCCAAATCTCTAACATCTGACTGAGTAACTGGTTAGAACCACATTACTTAACTGTTGTCTCCAAGATAACTCCAGATGAGGTGGGTTAAATGTTTTTTGATTTGCTGACTTCTAAGAGTCTCTAGCATAAGTGGCTAACTCCTGTAGAACAAATTTAAGTCCACTGGCAATAGCATGCTTTTCTAAGTTCTCTCTTGCAGATGCCTCAGAAGCATCACAAATGCCATCAGGCAGCTGCAGATAGCACAAATACCACTGTTCCAGAGGCTGTTTATATGTCATAACACGTATGTTTATATATAATAACACATTGCTGTTAGAAGTCCCTGGACTTACTTTGAGAAACTCCAGTTTTAATCAGAGCTGAACACTACAGAGTCACTGACCCTGTGGGAATAGCTGCGAGTCAGAGCAAGAGAGCAGGTGACGTCTTCTGAATTATTTTGTGGCAAGTGAACTACTGTATTTTTGTTATTGAACATACAAGGGGCTCTTAAGTCTACCTAGAGCAGCAACACCCCTCTTTAGCAGGAGTGTGGAAAGAAGGGGCAGTGCCATGTATGTGCTGAAAAGGACTGCTGTGCATTATTTAAAGCAAAATAATCTCTAGTGATTAATACCCAAGACCCACAAGAGTAAATATTGTAGGCTAATTTGAGGAGCTTCGTCAGCATCACAAAACAAGAAAGCACAGTGGAAGAACTGGAAGATGTCAAAGGGATAGAGAGTATTCCTTATTTGTAACTTTTGTATGTTATATGTCAGTTTTTGTAATAATACTTAGTTTACAAAACATGACAAAAGGTTGGGTGTGTAGCCTCTTCCTTGGGCTAGGCCTGCAGAAACATCAGAACATCTAGATGTCTGTAATCCAAAGTGCAACTTGACACTTCACTCCTTAGGAGCTTTCCAGAAAGCAGGAACCAACACTGCTCATGTCAAGCTAAAAAGACAAAACAGAAAGGAGATTTAGCAGATGAGTGCCAGGGAGTGCAGAAGGTATTTCAAAACACCAGTACAGTCAGTTCTCAACTTCCAATTACAAAAGGCCAGTAGAAATTTCCCTTCCTAGAACATAAGGGTCTATGAAAAGAGGGAAGCAGACCTAGCAGCTGCTAACAGCCAGCCATCAGAACAGACTTGTCAAGCTGGCAAGGCAAAATGTACACTCAAGTCTGGCCTAGGTAGTTATCAAAAGCTCAGAGCAAGTTTAATTACAGCTGTTACGCTCAGGAACTGTAAAGAGGCAGCAAAGAACTCTTTCAAAGGGTTCTTCATCCAAGGAATTCCTTATTGTTTCCTTACACCATAAACCAGCCTCATACATTCTCACAATAACTGAGAACTCAGCCACTAAGTTACAAGGCTAGGCCTAGGTTGCTCAATACACCTCTAGCACCACAACAACGATAGTAAGAGTTGTAATCACACGAAAGCCCAAATGAAGTGCACATAGGACATTCATCTATACGTATGCCTAAACCTTGTTTAAAAATTTGCATACACTAATGAATGGAGAAGGTCCTACATCACAACCACTCCAGGCAGAAAACAAGAAAACCTGCCTCTCATTAAAAGGTAACTTGGACAAAGCCTTTGACAAAAAGGCTTTAAAAAAATTTAAGGCAGCAATCTTAAATTAAAAAGATTTAAGGCAGCAGCAGACAAATTCCAGTCTTTTTGGCTTCAGAAACAGCTGTATTAGGCTTTTGAAATAATAATTTTATGGGTTACAACAATCAAAAGCCAAGATGTCAAGCAAAGTCACTGGCATTTTAACTTTCAAAACAAGATTTATTTAAAAAAAAAAATCCATTTATGTCATAGCTAAGCACTGAACAGCTAGGGAAAAGAGGTATCTGAAAGTTAAAATGGATACTATTTCTCACAAAAAGTATTACAACTGCAACAAAAACCCTTACAGTTCCCACACCAGACTAAGCAGACTCATCAGCTACAAGGAACAAAACTGCTTTGCAACAAGGTAATCATTGTCAGTAACCCAACAAAGGAAAGAGGAAATTAAAAAGAAAAAAAACAATTGTGAAAACAGCTAGTTTTGCTATAAAATCTTGGTTTGATCATGATTATACACAGACCTGGATCCTCCTCACCTGTCAATCAGGGAATCTCTCATGTTGGTAGCAATGGTACTCGGCTGAGCTTCGTTCAGCCTGAAGATACTCTCGATGACGGAGAGCTCAGTGCTGGTTGTATCCAGCCCACAGAAGGCACACCAGTCATTGACAACCATTCCTGCTGCAATGACCTCGCTGCCACGATTCACCGTTCCAGCCTGGCAAAAACAAAGCAGCAAGTGTTAACAGGGTACGCTGCCAGCAATGCATTTTGTTAGGCAACCTCATTACGGGTCTTTGGCGGAGGGCCTCGAAGCACACTCTTGAAAAGATTAAAGCTTCTGCCATCAACAAAGTTATAAAACTTCAGATAAAAAGATTAATGGACAGCCTTTAATCTCTGGAGAGAAAATTGTGTGATATTCAGTGAAATAAAATCTAACAAATAGGAAGCATACAGGCACAGCAACTGTGAAATTCACAAAACTGGTTAGGCAGGCAAAGAATTTTATTAGTTTATTTTAAACACTGCCTTTGGCCAAACCACAGACAATCTGACTTTCTGTATGAATCAATCAGCACAACTTGCATACTCCCAGGAGAGCAGTGTTTCAGAAGCAAACTAAAGGTGCTAAGCAGCTTATCCAGACTCAGAAAAGACAGGGAAAATGTCTCATAAGGCTTGCCACATTCAAGTCTTCTGATCTCCCACTTGGAACAGCCCTCCAGAGAAAACAGTATCTAGGGACCCATGAAATGTAGAGACATTAAAACTGAGAAATAGGTTGAAGGGGAGTGGCAAGAGAAAACAGAAACCCACAAATGCCTTACCACTAGTGGAACCTGAAGCAACGAAGACAGTTCATCCTGATCATCAATTGAAGTTTTGGGGTGCACAATTCCTCCCTGGTTACTAAAAACACAGTAACTTCCTACCAGCACCTGATCTGCTACTGTTTGTCTGAAAACCTCAACCTTCAGTACATCTGCCAAGATCTCTTCCGTCTCCTGCAAATGGAAAGAGAGAATAAAGTTATCAGCAAAACAGTATCACTGAAATTGAAGTCAAGCTATTCCTGCACACATCTATCAGCTGGGATCCTCCCCTTTCAAAGCCCACCAACACTTCCACAATCTGATCAGTATAAAATGCTGACTCAACCTCTACACTCCATTTGTTTCCAGTTACCTGTGCACGCTGAGCTGGGACATTGTAACCAAACACAACGCCGTGCCTTTGCTGAGGAATGCTCTTCTCCCCTCCCGGAGGATGCTGGCACTACATCAATTGTGTCAATACCTGCTCTCTGGACATTCCTCTGAACCAGTCCTCTTTTCTCCCAGACCACTGGGACAAAATTGTCTTATCCTTCTGTATAACTCTAGGAACTTCCTTCCCCTCCAGGTTTTCACTGTGAATTACTTTGATTTCTCCCTGTCTGGCCACCTTACCTTAATTTTTACACGTATGTAAAACACAATTTACTGCAAAGACTACTACCTCCACCCCCTCTTTTTTTCCCTTTGCAGGCCCAACACCAAGTCCCATTTCTTCATCACCAAACTGAAAGCAAACACTGTAAGGACCTTCACTACCTGCAGCCACACAACACACCTCTCTCCAATGCTATTAAGATGTAAGTTCTCCAACTTGAAGTAGCAGCAGCTTCATATCCTCTGCCTTATTTTAAATTTTCATACAAGAACCTTTCATTTGGCAAACATGCACACCACCACCACGATGTCTGTGGCCTCTTTCAACTATTACAAATTTCAGCAAGCTAAGCAGTAGCTTGTAACTACTGCTGCGGTCCTGACTAAAAACTCTTCTTTATGATCTTTTTATAACAAACATGCACACTCTCCTTAATTCATTCAATTTAACATATGCAAAGCAAATTGCATCTGACAATATACTTCCATATCTCAGTCCTTCCCTTCTACAAAGGGCATTCACTACAGCATGCTGAACAAGAGGGCACACACTATATTTGGGGCACAGTCCACATCCACAAATAAAGATAAGTATAGGAAAAAAAAAAAAACAGATCAACTGAAACCATGTTATAAGTCCAAAATCCAATTCTGAGACTTCTCTCTTCAGAAGAAAGGGAACATGAGGCAGCACAGCCTCCTACGGGACATTAGCTCAGCTGTTAGCAAAGGTCTCCCGATGCCCACACTACCTACAGCGATCCTCAACATCTACAGAAACAAACTGCAGCTTGGCAATCATGTCACATGCACCCACTGTGAACTGAAAAGCATTACAGAGCCATATACCCTGTCAAGATCCGGATGAACAAGAGCTACGTAGTCATTGCAGGTAGTGACATTGCCCAGTGCTGAGAGACGCTCTTCTACTCGTTGAATTCGTACAGAATCTGGAAGACTATTGCGGATATGTTGAAGCTCTTGGTCTGTTGTACTGCTTGGGACCAACAGTCCATGTCTGTTTCCTAAAGTGGCCAAAAAAAAAAAAAAAAAAGTTTCCCCAGGACTTTCTACTTTCCTGATGTTCATGTAACAGCGTGAATTGTCCTTGGGCTCTTCACTCCTCCCAAGCCCAGAATTCAACCCAAGAGAAAGAATGTTACGATTTAAAAATAACACAGCACCACAGGTAAGGAAAAACCAGGATGAAGCACAGACACATCTCAGACCTGAAATGGGTGAACGGCACTGTCTTTCATCACTTGTTTTTTTAACAAAACGAAAGCAAGCCTGAAGTTCTCAATGAAACACTTTAACCAGGAATTTCCCTTCCAGATGCCAACTGCCCCACAAAACATACAGATGCTGCTTGTTTGTAATACTTAACCGTGGCAAAGCTGTAAGATGGGATAGACAAAGACATTCTTTTCACAGAAACAAACCTCAAGCAGTAAGTTTGTCTGCCTGAATTGGGTCTCACTCATCAGAGGCAAATGAAAAACTTTTCTTTGACTTTCACATTTGTTAATACCTCCTCCCTCCCCGGGCTCTGCCCTCCCAGTGCTGGCACTGAACCATCAGCCTTAACAAAAGCGGGATTTCTGCCAGTTTACCAGAAAGCAGGCTTATGTGTGTCTTTAAGCCCTGAGTGGCAAACACTCCCCACTACCCCAGCTCTTTGTTACTGGGCAAGTTCTAGTTTTTCATTTCTTCTCTTCACACACTTGAAGCATAGGAATAAAACCCCTGAGGATGCGGGGTGCTGCCCGCTGGACTCCGCACCTCAGTTAAACCCAGAGGATGCCACAGTGTGCACCAAGCCAGCAAGAGCCCATTTTACCCGTTCCCCCCGGGCTCTCCCGGCGCCCGCGCCCCGGCTGGGCCCGCGCCCCGGGGGCGAAGGGCGGCACCGACACCTACCCACACACATCCTGCCGATGATGCGGCAGCCGGCGATAGAGGCGTGCACCACCGGGATGGTCCCGAAGAGCTCCCCCTCGAAAACGCTGCAAGGAGAAAGCGCCGTTAGGGCACTGCTGTGGGGCTGGTGCGGCGGCCGGGCCGGGCCGCACCCCACCCCCGGGATTCCCTCACCTGTAGAAGTTTTCTGAGCCGCCGATGGCCACGAGGCAGTAGGCGTTGGTGAGCTTGGCGAAGCAGCCCAACTCGTTGTTGTTCTCGAAGCTGGCGCGCACAGCCATGGCCGGGCCGGACCGCACCACGGGGAGGCCGCACCGGCAGCCGCCTCCTTTACCCCTGCAGGGCGCACGCGGCGCCGCCGCTTCCGCTTCCGGCGGGCGGCAGGCGCGGGGCAGAGCGGCCCCGGCCGCGCCTTGCGGGGACAGCGCCGCCACCGGACGGGAGGCGCCGCCGCCGCCGGGAGCGGGAGCGGCCTGACCCGGCGCCCTTCCAGCAGCACCTGGTTGTGAACGTGTCACCTGCGTGCAAACACGTCACCCACGACGCACACGCCACCCGAGAGCCGCAGCATGCCACTCGCGTCTAGGGGCCACCCGTGTCCAGGCATGAGTTGGGTTGGCTGCCGCCTGTGCTGAGAATGCGCAGATCCCACGCGTGTGCAGATCCCACCCGCTTGCAGGCACCGCTTGGGTGCCAACATCAACCATGTGCTCAGACATGCCACCCGTGTCCCCCTGCCACAGCCCCGCTCAGCACTGAGGGGCCCTGGCCACACGCAGAGTGCTCACCTCCCCACCAGGGACCCAACACAGCTCTCTCCAGCAGAACAGCTCCTTTATTTTTAACAAGGCTACCCTGCCTTTGACCATTTCATTTTCAGCACATGGATACAGGGGGAGGAATCACACAGTACAAAGAGAACCTGGGTTCACCCTGAAGACCTCGGTGGCCAAACAGTTCCCAGCTGTAGCAGTGGTTTTGATGTGTGTTTGGGGGGAAATGGTTCTTTCCCAAATGAGTAAAAAGAACATAGAAGTGTGGATTATGTTTATGTCATTTTCTCTCCTGTAATGATCTTGTAATTGAAAATTTGAACTGTACTTGCTAATCTCATCTGAATCAGTTATCTATGTATATTAGAAACAGCACAGACACCTTTTAATAGGAATGAGACTAATCTACCACCCATATTTTGATTTCAAGTCCCAGATATGATGATTGGTGGGGAAAAGCAACCACTTGAAAATAAGACCAAAGGACACCTTGAGGCCTGGTCAGAGTTCAAATCGACTGTGTATATGCTTAGATTTTAACTTGTTGTACTTGGTGATCAGATCCAGCTTACTGTGCCCGAGAGTCATTCGCTTCTCAGCCCCATATGCGCTGTTCTTTTCCATCAGCATGTCCTCAGTGAGTTTATCATAGCAAGGAACTACAGGCTTTTTATCTCGTTTTAGCTGATTATATGGGGATAGCAGGTCCAGTTTTCCCTGTCCAGGACTCTGTCTTTTTTCCATCCTATCAAAAGTGTTGTCATTTTCTGCTGTTGGTTCCCTGGAGGTAGCAGCAGGCCCTTTCTGCTTCATGCTTGTCCCATTGCTACTGCTGCCCTCTGAAAGGGACTGCGATACCTGCTCCTGGCTTAGTGGGGAGCAGTGGCTGCTGTCAGCCTTACTGTCCCCCTGATAACTAGGTTTAGTGGAGTTCAGGGCAGGGTAAGCCTCCGGCTGCAAGAATGTCCTTGCTGTCATGAGATTTGATTTGTGATACAAGGCTGGGGTAGATTTATTTGGAGGACTGTTCGCTGAGTCTGGTGGTTCTCCTTGCTGCTTAGGGCAAACGGGCTTCAGAGATGTGTCTTCCTTCCCCTTCTTATTACCAGAATCAGAGCTTGAATCTTGGTTTTCCTGCTGTACATTGCAGTTGGAGTTTTTCAGAAAGGGAGACACTTTTATGCTTCTGATGCTTATGTTGGAAAGGCTGCTGGAGGGGCTTGAGGTTTCCGCATCATTCACCTGTGCTGGCTTTAAAAGGGAGTTGGCAACTTTTGAGGTATTCTGAGAAGAGGGACATGTTTCAGGATCAGGCACGCAGAAGCTGGTCACTGCTCTGGACTCTGCATACAAGTACCGGAATTCCTTGTCAAATTCAGCAACAATTTGACCACGGAAGTGGGTCACCAGACTGGTGTGGACTTGGCTGCAAAGCCAGGTGAAACTGAAAAAAAAAAAGCACATGTATCTTTAGTTCAGAGAGTGTGACTATACCTAGCATTGATTTTAACATTCAAGTGATGTATTGCTACCCAATTTATGTCATTAAAACTTTCTCTGAAGTATGCAAGTGTGAGTTTACTTGTAGAGATTAAGGCACTCATTACAGAATTACAAAAGAAGAACCTTAAAATGGTAATTTAATTTCAGCTCAGTGATGTAATGAACTGTATGAAGATATAAACAATGAACAAGAAATACAAGAAATATCAGCTGGCTTTCCTTAGCCTTATGAAGGATGTAGGGCAGCAACTGGTCCCTGCCTGAAAAGCATGGCAGCATGTTTCAGCTCTTGTCTTCTCCAGCTTCCTCTTGTTAGTGCTCTCTGCCCATAAGCAAGGAACCATCATTTCCCATTCCTCATCCTGTCTGTGTGTTGGAGAGTACCAGCTAACCATTTGTGGGGAGGCTTGTCAGTCCATGCAGGGCAGGTACTGCGGTGTGCGTGGTTTGTATCAAGCAGACAGTGTCAGGAAGATCTCCAACTTTCTGGAGATGGTGTGGCTGTGGGACAATGAGATACGAAACATGGGGCATTGAAGAGCTCTTTCTGCCCAACTTGTATTGCAGACTTTCTAGCCTGGCATTTGGCTAGCACAGTACACTGCGACCATACCTTCCACAGAGGGTGAGGAGACTTGTTTTGGGGGGATATCAAGGCATGCCTGGTCTCCTGCTCTCTTCCCTTGCTTTGACAGGAGCTATGTTCTCATGTCCTTACCATCTGCAACATGTGATGGACTTGAAGGAGCCACTTAGGCAGGCAGGAGGGTGAGGAATGGAGATCTTGGGCACTGCCTTGAGGAGCAGAAGTCTCCAGAGCCCCACAGGAATACCTCAGGACGGAAAGGCTGATGATGCTTTCCATTAGTATTGCTGTGAGATTCCTCTGACTCTCCATCTTTTCCTTGTTGTCCAGTTAAGAGATGCATGGTGTTAGAAGTTCACAAGTATTTTGCTCAGCAAGTCCAGTCCCTGCTCTTGCAGTACAATGTCTTGGGATCTTTTCTGGGAGGTTGTTATGTTCCACTTTATAAAGAATTAGGTTTTCCTCCAGCTGGGGAAAAACTTCCACTAATTGCCACTCTGCTATTTTCCTTATCTGTTTAACGGAAGCTGTCGTTTCTGCCAAAACTGTAATTTAATTAGCTCTCCCCTCATGTATCTACAGATAGTAACCACATTTCTCCTCTCAATCTTCATTTTCCTAGATTAAACAGGGAAACTCTTCTTACAGAGTAGACTCCCCAGGGTCCTGGTCATCCAAGTCATCAGCTGCTTCTTTTATTCTTGCTATAGTCAATCTACACTAGCAGACTAACTGTGTTAAATTAAACAGAACTTTCACACATGGAAGGACCACCTTAGGGCTGCACTGTCAGCTGCTAAAGCAAGATACTGACTTTGACAAGAGCAGGATGAAATCACAGAAACTACAGGAGAGCAATTGTAATTGTAGTAAGTAAATGTAAAAGTAAATTTACTCACAAGTAAATGTAATTTTGGGACAAGATATTGGAACTATGCTTTGGGACCTCATCAGTGTTCACTTCACAAGACAGCTATTTGGGAACTTTCAGTCAGAAAAACAGCTCTTGGCTTGTTCCTGAGCAGTGTGCAGTTGTTATGGTTCATAATGTTGTTTTGAAGAAAGCAGTATACTTACACTCAGCATACACACCTCCCAAAGAGCAACATAAAATGAAAAGATCAATACTCTCCTGCTTAATATCAAACCAGGTAAATTAAGTAATAATGAAGAAGTAGTAAGAGTGAAAAACCCTTGTGGGTGGCATGAAAAGTATTCAGAAATACCATACCAGAGGCTCAAATCAAATGCATACAACTCCAGAGAGAGACATGAGGGAAAAAAAAAAAAAAAAAAAAAAAAAAAGAGAAAATAGCTGGGATGGCTAAATGACAGAAGAGAAGCTATTAAGTCTGGAAAGCCCATCTTTCCAAAAGGTTGGGTCACACATTGAAAAAGCCATAAGAAATAATATTCAGCTCTCTGTGGGGCTAGCACATGGTCTATGTGTAACAGAGTGCTCAAATAATTCCTCCACATCAGTGTTTATTGTGCAGGAGCTTGGGATGATCCCTGCCCTAAACCCACCTTTATACAGAACATAAGAGAGGATCAGTCTCCTGTTGAAATCTCTGTAGAAGAAATTAGAAAACATATCAACAAAGCAGATACTAATAAACTGGCAGGACCAGGTAATATTAACCCAAAAGCGCCAAAGGAATGCAAGGATGAAATAGCTCAACTACTAACCAGGATGTGTTATCTCTCACTTGAAAGTATCTTGGTTATCAGAAGAGTGGAAGGTTGCTAATATGATAATTTTTTAAAATGTTCCAGACCATTAATTCTCATAATGGACCAGCACAAATTAGTAGAGATTCTTCTAAAGAATACAATTAATGGCCATATAGGTGAATATGCTATAATAGGAAAGGTGGCTTTTGCAAAGGAATTATCTCTCACGAAGCTGGGAGAGTTCTTTGAAGAAATCCAAGAGTCCAGATAGGAGTTTTCATGTAGTCTGTATCAACAGGCTAATGTCAAAGACATCTATCCCAGGTGTACTGCCTGGCTCCCCGGAGTGCCGGTGTTCCCATTCATGTTGCTTATAGCTATTACCCTTCTACACAAGAGTGCTGTGTCTGCACTTCACAGTGCTTAGACATATCCCAACTCAGGACCTACTCCACTCACACATACACTTGTGTTCGCCTGAACTCCTCAAAACCACAAATGTGCTCAGAGGGCTGGCTGAACACCCTCTCCTCTGGAGAGACAGGCTTGCATCCCTCTCGCTGTTAGCACTGTCCCATGAACTGCAAGAGGGCCCAGGGCAGCCAGGTGGAAGATAATGCTTGCTGCTCACCCAGCCTAGCACCACCGTTGCCATCAGACCTGGAAACAGGCTGTGCAAGTGGTCATATTTGTCCTCCTCATTCTGCCTAGGAGGTCTTATGTCTCAGACTTTAATGGTCTAGCAGGAACATCACAACAGCTACCCATCGAGGCCTCTGGCCTCACCTCAGCAGGAGGTAAACAACAGGTCTTGCTTAGGTTTTCCTTCCCTCTCCAGAAGAAGTGACTTCAACCTTCCATCTTCTACCAGCACCCTCTGATCCAAGTACTGCCTCCCTACAGAAACACACGAGATGAGATGGCTGGGTGTACCTCTCACCTGTCCTTTCCCCTGTAAGGGGAGCAGCCACCGATCCATCAATACACTCCTTATACTGGCGTTACGACTGTCCCAGCCACTGATGCTTCTTACAGTTCCCTCCCCAGTCCAGACATTACCGTGTCCCAGTTTCCCATGCCAATCCAATGGGGGCCTGCCCACTCTGTGTCATGGCAGGACCTGGAATGAATCATCCAAGTCTCTCCTACGGCACAGCCCCCCCTTGCCATAGTACAGGTTTCCATGATAGGATGATGTGGCCTTGCCAACCATGGCTATTCTCATCACTACAAACTGACAAAGGTCTTTTTCTCCATGAATAGCATGGAGGAGATAGCCAGGGAATGATCATTCTTGGTCTCTTCTGGTATAAAAACAAGGCATTGAATTACATTAACGGGTTACAAATTCAAGAGGTATTTCCTTGCACAACACAACACACAGGCGAGCTGCGGAGCTCCTCACTGTGGATGCCAAAAGTTCACATGAATTTCTAAAAACGTTAGGATTTTCCTGCTTGTATTTTTTCCATAACAAACTGCTGCACACAGAGATCCTGTATCCAGTTCTGAATCACCCTGGGGCACAAATTACAGGAGTCTGGGAAAGGCTGGCTGGAGGGGAGGACCCCTTCCCTGCTTTGCTTTCAGAGAGAGGAGCAGGAGCCCTGCGGGATCCCGTGCAGCTCAGCCGCTGGCCAGGAGATGGAGTTGCACCACCACCTCCCAGGAGGTGGGGGGACCCCCCCCCAACCCTTCCCGAGGCTGGGGCTGGGGCCGAGCAGCGCACCCTGCAGTATTTCGGCCGAGGGCTCAGCCCCAGCCGCCTTCTCGACAGCAGGATTAGTTCTCCTGTGTGCCCTTCTGTAAAACTGCAATACAGTCTAGTGTTGCAGGGGCCTTTCTAGAGCTGTGCTGTACAGGTGACTTGCAGTTCTTCACACTCAGCTTCTTTGTTTCACCTGTTTCCAACTGAGGAGACACCAATTTGTAGCAAAAGGTTTTTTGTTTCTTTCAGTAGTTTCTCTTATTCATTTTTATTTCTTTCCTGTTGCTTTGGCTTAAAGGCATTATTTTCTTTCCATATGCCAATACAAACCTCTGTGTACCATTTTTGTCCATTCCTAAATGTAGGTACTACATAACACTCGTGACTAGACTTTTAATTTCAAGTGACTTTCCTTTGATAAGATGACAACAATCTGACTGTATTGTAGTAAACTCTTTAAGCTTGCTTCCAATGCACTTGAAATTATTTCCATTTTTCATTTTTCATCTTCATTTTGATTAAAATCAGTGCATTGTATTCAGTTAATTTGGGCATCACATCTCAGTTATTTCTTATTTCTTATTCATCCTTACAACAGTATGCCTTGTCTCTTTCTTCTCGATTCACTTTTTTTTTTTTATGCACCTGAGGACTTATTCTTTGCTTTGGTGTGCTCCACAAGGTTATATATAACTTATCTTCTGGCAATGCTCACTTTATTGCTACACATATTGACCTGGGGTTTCCTTGCTGATATACTGTGCCTTCCATTCCTTATGCACTCACTTTCTGCTTAAATGTAATTTCTTTCTTAAGGTGACTGTTCATCGAGTTAGATCTGGAATTTGCTCTTAAAAGCTCTTTCCTCTTGCGTGAGGCATGGATACCTGAGAGTATGAGCACTTCTCTGCTAAAGAAATTCCAAGCCTCCTCCAGCTTCAAACCCATGTAGCGTTAGCTGTTCATTACCAAA